GGGGGGAAGGAAAAGATGAGGAGGAAGAAGGGAAATGCGACGAGCAGGAGAAGGATGAAGGGAGGGGTGACATCGTTGGGGGAAATTAAGTGAAGGATGGAACGGATGAGGATACAAAGACGTTAGAATGACGCTGACTGTCTGCACAGAACAGTGAGTCTCTATTTTATTCCAAGCACTTTCTTAGTCGTACACTCTGTCACCGGAATCACTGGTAAGAGCTCACTGAAGAGTGTTCGAGCAGTTTGTCATGATTATGGTGGAGGATATCGCATGTTTTGTCACTCAAACGCTTACGCCGCAAAGCTCCTCAAACCTTGCGAGAAATGGTGACTTTGTCTAACTGAGAGCCTGACTGATGTGAGCGTGCTGCAGATCTGCACAAAGTAGGTCCCTGTCGTTCGATCTTGATCTGTGTGTTTTGAGGTCAGCGAAAAAATGTTTACACCGACACACAAGGTTTGACGCACACACATCATGCTCCACCCTGGTGCGACTGCGAGCTGCCAAGTGCTTACGTATGAAACCAAGTTAGCGGAACGGCGTTAATTTTTGCCGAAAAATACACCGTCGCTTTAGGAGACGAATGACATAAATTAACGGTTCGACAACGGTACGGTAGAGATGCCCATCCACCGAACTGTCGGTAGACTGTGATTCATGTCATACGGTGGTGGCTTTACGGGTGGAGCCCTTCACACTACCGTTGCCAACGTTCCTCTAAGGATTGTCAGCATAGGGACTACTGAGTTATGTCACGCTTGAGTTATTGTGTTACGAAAGTAGAAATGCAATTACTAACCGATGCACAACTGTTCACTGGTCTTCATCGACCGACTATACTTTACTTCCAGACAGAAGAAACGTAAAGGTACAAACTGGATCAGTTAACTAATCAGCAAACTTTTTGAACAGACGTTTGGTCACGGGTATATTCTGGTTTCAGGGGGATGACTAGTATGCGCTAGAGGAGGACAAAGTAAGCTGCGAGGAAGAGACAGCTAATGAGAACGATTTTCACGGAGACTGAGGAGATGTAAGCGAAACATGTATTGGGGGAAGAAATTAATGAGGTAGAGGCAGATTAAGATGAGGAGGAAGGACTTAATGAGGATTAGTAAGAGTGGTTAGATGAGCGTGACAGGGGATTTTACTGAGCCTAAATCATATGCACACCTCCAATCTCTTATCGAATTAATGTTGCATGGGGAGTAGTGGTAGTGCTTGTAGTATTATTATTACTGGTAGTTGTTCTAGTGGTACTACTAGTAGCACCAGTGACATTAGCAGTAGTAAGATTTAGTAGTATTAGTAGTAGTAGTAGTAGAAGTAGTAGTAATAGTAGTAGTAGTAGTAGTAGTAGTAGTAGTAGTAGTAGTAGTAGTAGTAGTAGTAGTAGTAGTAGTAACAGTTTCGGTATTTTCGATGCCATGATGAAGGTGCCTTTAGGCGCTCTTCCAGGAGATGTGGCGTCAAGGCTAAGTCCCGCAAGATTTCAAAGACGCAACCATCGTTCATCTCAACAAGCGAAAAGGGAATCGCCAAGTCTGCGACAATCACAGCGGCATCTCCCTGCTGAACATCGCCGGGAAGATCTTCGCTCGCATCCTTCTCAACCGCCTCAATAACCATCTCGAGCAGGGCCTTCTGCCGGAAAGCCAATGCGGCTTCCGTCGCCATCGTGGGACCACGGATATGATCTTCGTCGCCCGTCAACTTCAGGAGAAGTGCCAGAAGATGCGGACCCACCTGTACTCTACCTTCGTGAACCTGACGAAAGCCTTCGACACGGTGAATCGTAAAGGACTGTGGAAGATCATGCAGAAATTCGGCTGTCCGGAGCGATTCACTCAGATGGTGCGTCAGCTGCACGACGGTATGATGGCGCGAGTCACGGACAACGGAGCTGTCTCAGAGGCATTCGCAGTGACCAATGGAGTGAAGCAGGGATGCGTGCTGGCGCCTACCCTCTTCAGTCTTATGTTCTCAGCCATGCTGATGGACGCCTACCGCGACGAACGCCCCGGGATCCGCATCGCCTACAGGACCGACGGTCACCTGCTGAACCAACGGCGGATGCAATTAAAGTCGCGCGTATCCACAACCATCGTCCACGAACTTCTCTTCGCCGACGACTGCGCCCTGAACACCACCTCGGAAGAGGAGATGCAACGGAGCATGGACCTGTTCTCCGCCGCCTGCGAGAACATCGGTCTGGTCATCAACACGCAGAAGACGGTGGTGATGCACCAACCGCCACCGAACTCAGTCACAGCCCCCAACGCGCCGCCGCAAATCAGCGTGAATGGGGACCAACTGCAAGTGGTGGAGAACTTTCCGTACCTGGGCAGTACCCTCTCCCGCAACACCAAGATCGACGACGAAGTCGCCAACAGGATCTCAAAAGTCAGTCAAACCTTCGGCCGCCTCCAAAGCACAGTTTGGAATCGTCACGGACTTCAACTGAGCACGAAGCTAACGATGTACAAGGCCGTCATCCTGCCGACGCTGCTGTACGGAGCGGAGACTTGGACGGTGAACACAAAGCAGGCACGCCGACTGAACGACTTCCACCTCAGTTGTCTTCGTCGCATCCTGAGGCTGAACTGGCAGGATCGAATCCCCGACACTGAAGTACTGGAACGAACGGGAATCCTCGGCATCTACACCATACTGAGACAAATCAGCTGCGCTGGAGCGGCCACCTGGTGCGCAAGGACGACGAGCGACTACCCAAACGACTCTTTTACGGAGACGTCGCGACGGGTTCTCGTCGTCAAGGAGGCCAAATTCGCCGTTACAAGGATACCCTGAAGTTCTCCCTGAAGCGCCTGCAAATCAACCCGACCAACTAGAAAGAGCTCGCACTCGATCGACCGACCTGGAGGAGGACAGTGAAGATAGGCGTTGCGATCTACGAAGCCAACCGCATCGCTGCCGTCAAGGCGAAACGCGAAGCCCGCAAATCACAACTTCGCCCAGTACGCAACGCCGCCGCACAACCGCTTCCAACGTGTCCTCGATGTCAACGGACATTCCGGGCCCGAATCGGACTTGTTGGACACCTTCGGATCAACTGCGCCTCTCGAATGGCACCAACCATCGTCCCCCCGCCCGCCTCTTCCTCCTCCTCTCCGCCGCCAACTAACTCTGACAACTCTTCTGACCCACCACTTCCATCCTCCTCCTCCTCCTCCTCCTCCTCCTCCTCCTCCTCCTCCTCCTCCTCATCATCATCATCATCATCATCCTCATCCTCCTCCTCGCCCACTGCTCCGACGGCGGCCGCTCAGGCGACTGTCCCGCGCATAACAACCGACACTACCACCACCTCCCCCGACTCCAGCGATGAGGATCAGGACTACACCCGCCCTCACTGTGACCGCACCTTCACCTCACACATCGGCCTGGTCGGGAACTTGCGAATTCATCGCACAGAGACTGGCGAACCGGTACCTGGAGCACCAACTAACACCGACCGCACTCGCCTCCACTGCCCACACTGCCCTCGCACCTTCAGGTATTGCATGGGTCTATTCGGCCACATGCGCATTCACGAGAGCGGAAATGACTGCAATACCGACTCACTCATCATGCCAAACCCCACGACCACTTCATCACCCTGCGCCCCCACCGCCCTTCCCGCAACTGACACCGACACCACCGAATTCACCTGCCCACACTGTACACGCATATTCACATCACGCATCGGCCTGGTCGGTCACTTGCGAATCCATCGCACAGAGACAGGCGAACCAGTGCCTGGCACACCAACCTATACCCACCGCACTCGACTCAACTGCCCACACTGCCCTCGCACCTTCAGGCATCGCATGGGCCTATTCGGCAACATGCGCATCCACGAGAGCGGCCTTGACCGCACTCCCGACACACCCACCACATCCAACACATACACTGTGCACACCTCCACCCTCGCAGCATAATATTGCTTAAACCGATACAGGCGAAGATGCGAGTTCCAGGAACTAGTTGATCAGAAGAAGAGGAAGAAGAAGAAGGGGGAGAAGAAGAAGAAGAAGAAGAAGAAGAAGAAGAAGAAGAAGAAGAAGAAAAGGGAAGAAGAAGAAGAAGAAGAAGAAGAAGAAGAAGAAGAAGAAGAAGAAGAAGGGGGAGAAGAAGAAAAAGAAGAAGAAGAAGAAGAGGAAGAGGAAGAAGAAGAAGAAGAAGAAGAAGAAGAAGGGGGAAAAGAAGAAGAAGGGGGAGAAGAAGAAGAAGAAGAAGAGGAAGAGGAAGAGGAAGAAGAAGAAGAAGAAGAAGAAGAAGAAGGGGGAGAAGAAGAAGAAGATGCAACCGGGGCAGTACAGAGCTGTGAAAATATCAAATGTTTGCGTCCGTGGAATTAATAAACCCAGAGTAAACAACACCGTCTGATTTTTCTCCGAGCAGCGTTCACATTCTTCAGTCAGAGACCCCTGTGACGGCTTGCTTTCATGCGAATATTTCACAATCAATGGTCCATAATGACCTGTCTCGTCTACTCTACATTCTCCCGGACGTGGACCAAAGGTTCGAATTGGCACTCTCCTGTCCGCAACTGTTTTTCGCTCGCATTTCTGACTAAAGTTTTGTTTTTAATGTCGATATTTAATCTGTGGGCGAAGATTGACTGGTCGGGACTGTAGTAAGTATATCACCCCAGGAGCAAAAATGTGTAATTACCTACGAAACGTCGTATCCCTAATGTGTCATGTTGTTAAAATATTTTGATTTTATTCCCCAAACGGTGAGAGGGTCCAATTGTCAATTAGGCAGGTTTGAACGAATCCAACCCTGGCTGTCAAGTTAGCTTCGGCTTCACTGTTTGTCTGACTTGACGTTTGACCTCCATTAGATTAAAATATGAGTAGACATGGAACCGAAACCTACTACCTATAACTCGATTCCTGCCCGCACGGTTTTCTCATCGACAGAGCACACGTCAATCGATTTGGCACGCAATGTATGCCATCAGCGACTTCTAGCCACCTTCGTCTTGACCAAATAAAACTCGCGGCGCCTTCTTTCGTGTGCCAAATATCTCCCAATGAAATCCTCCGTATGCCACAATCGGCCAATCACAGCCGATGTGCGTGTATGCGTGCGTGCGTGTGCGTGTGCAATGTATGGGGCCATCGTAAAAGGCAGCGCTTGTGGCACACGGCATTCCGTTTCTCTCTCCCTCCTGCTCTGGTTATTACTCCAAATGGCGCTTCAGGAAGCAGAACTATTCGAAGACCAACATCCCCTGATTCGAAGCTGTCCTGCCTTAAACGAAATTCGTCTTGCCGAAGACATTAAAGACATGACCATAGAGGTAACTTCCCTTATTTACAGCGGACATTTGTGCGTGTTAGGTCAAGAACGGCGACGTCCTTCACGTCCATCGAATAGTGCTGGCAGCTCGCATTCCTTCTTTGCGAGCGTCTCTCAGTGGCCCCCTCGGGGAGGAGAAATCGGTCTTAAGATGGCCGACAGCGCCCCTCAGGTTGGTTCTTTAGGTTTTGTTTACTACCTTTATAGTCTCGCAAATACGCTCGTCCAGTATGTGTACACTGGCCGAGTGGAGATGACACAGAATAACGTGATGGGCATGATTGCGCTTGCAAGAATGTTGGAACTGCCCGCCCTGGTGAATTGGGGAGCGAAATTTATGACCAAGAGGTACGCAATTTCCCGACCATTTCTCTCTAACTGCCTGCTCTAAAGAGTCAATTTAGAAAATTTGTCAGCCACTTGGGACTTTGCAAAGTCTCTGAATCTAGAATTACTGACGGATGCTTGCATCGGTCAGATGGAAGAGCACTTTAAAGACTTTGTGCCAACTGAACTCTTTGTTCGATTGCCGGCCGAAACTGTCCTCAGCCTGCTTCGAAGCGATTACCTGTCCGTGGGATCTGAGGAGGAGGTTGTTGCGGCGATTGCTCGCTGGACGGGTGCTGGTGCCTGTGGCCAGGGCAACGATGAGAGGCTCAGAGTACACGCGCCGGCGATGTTGAAAGAAGTTCAGTGGCACCTAAATGACGTGGAATGCCGCGATCGCCTGATGAAAGAATACCCAACATTTGGGAAAAGTCCCGAATGTCTGTAAGTTTATGCTATTTCAACCCTGTTATTTTGTCTTAATAAAAGTCAGCTTATGCTTCAGGTTGAGCGGTGGATTAGAGCTGCGGATAAAGACAAGCCGACCCGTCCCTTCAACCTAAGGCCTCGTCTACGCCAGACGATCTTCCTCTTCGGACCGGACAAAGATGTGCAGGACAGTTGGTCCGTACTTCGCGTCAATCGGCACCTGCAGCAGGCAGAACGCGTTGCTGACACGAAGACGCATCGCTGGTTCGCCACCTACAGCGTCGTGGGCGGTGAGTTGTCGGAGAGTTCTGCGTCTCCCCTTCGGCGCATTTTGTCTGCTTTGGATTTTTTTGCTTGTTGAAGTCCAGCACCTCTGTGTGCGACAGCATTTAGTGTATTGTAGGAAGAAAATTAAGCAAATAGGTCAGGCTCTTAGGGATTGTTTTGTAAGTGAAGGTT